GTGCATACAGTCATAATCATCCTATGGAATGTGAATTATTCTGCAGTAAGAGTATCAGTAGAAACCCTACTTCCTGAGTGTAGTTGATACCACAAATAGATCAAAGTATCACTGAAATGCTCAACATATAAACACTCCAATCAGTGCTTGTGCTGCGGCATTTCCCTGGGAATCTGGACCCCCAATTTGCTAAAATGCTCAGTAGGCATTTAATAACATCATCCCACTGTTGGTGTAGTTTGAGAAGTGAGAAGCATCATACCAAGGGTTCAGACGAGAAGCCAAGGTATGCTGTCACAACTTCCTTTTTCAGCAAGGATGAAAGTTCCCTCTGCTGTTGGTAGAGTTCTCTTTACATTATGATATGCTGCTTCTCCTCTGATGAGTGGCTTTTCTTTGTGAGAGATCCTCACTGTCACTTGCACAGTTTCTCTGAAATACAAAGGCCACAACATTTCAGTCACAGAAATGAGATACCATGCTCCTAAACGTGATGTTCTAATATTATTAGTATGTCATCTATTAAGAGTTAATAGAAATTTCACAGTTTCATTCCAGAAGGTCACCTGCACTGCAGAGGTCCCCCACCTTCCATCATACCACTGGGCCCAAGAGCAGCAGTGAAGACTCTCTGTGTGACTGCTCGTTTCTCAGTCAGCGCGGTCTGTGCTGTGATATCCAAACGTCATCTGCAGCCTTCATGCTGCTCCTTTACAGAGTAAACGTGGCTAGCACCTAAAGGGTTTATTTTCCTACATTTCCGTCACAGTAACACAACTTAGAGCAGCACTAAAGACACACAGGGGATGCCATGGTCCTATCTGGTTTCCCACTCTAAACCACTGCCATCCTGTTGGGCTGGGCATCCATGTAAGGACAGCAAAAATCACTGCATAGTAAAACTGGTCCTTCTCATCCTCCCGTTTGAGAAATGTACCTACCAAACTTTCATCTTGAATTAGGACCTTTTTCACCAGTGAATGAGATAGCCGGTTGCACAATGAGACAATATGGTAAGAAAGCTATGGAGAGAGGAGAGGGAAGAATGAGAATTTGACCACACATAGGCAGTACAGACATATTCAAACTCATTTCATTTATCTACTGCATATTACAGTCTTGCATTCAAGCTCTATTTTGCCCTCTGATCCCGTCAGGCTTGGGAAGCCTTACGTGAGGAGGATTGAAGGCTTGCTGTCATACCTTCCATCGCCTTCTAGCATAGTGCCTTTTGAAGTTTTCCATGTTAACAACAGATGCTTGCCGAACCAAAGCCTGTCGCTTGTCCACTGGCTGGAAGATAAGAGAGCAATTTTATTGCTTGGCTCCCTTCGGTGCATAAAATACTTAAGATTCTTCATGTGCTCTGGAGCTGGCTGAAAAGAATGCTGGCAGGGGAAGCTGTGAATTCAAAAAGGTAAACGCAGAAGAAAAATAATTACATCTAGTCCACCCTGTGCCTGGACAGGCCCTCTTTGATCTTAAACAAAATCCTAAAACTAGTGTACAGTCAGTGGTGACACCTGGCCCTGTTTGAGGCAGTCTTTTCAGATCTGAAGATGGAGAACGTGTGAATGTGAAATATGGAAAGCACTAGCTGTACTCTACAACCCAAATATTAAAATGGTACTAGAGAGCTGCCCTTTTCCTGTGTCTTACAAAGCTGGTCAATAAAAACCTGTCTGTTTATCAAAATCTCAGGAAAGCTCGGGTAACCTGCCACTGTGAGTAATCTTCTGCAATTAGTCTGAGACTAACAGATCTCAAGTAAACTTAAAAGGTAGCCCAAGAAAAGTAAACCCATGACCAGCCCTGGTTAACGCTGGACTTGCCAGGCTGGACTTGCCAGGACTCACAGGATAGTTGACTTTGGAAGAGGCCTCTGGAGATCATCTATTTCAACACCCTGCTGCAGCATGGTCAGCTCCTGCAGCTTGGCCAGTACCATCTCTTACTTGTGTTTCAAAGGTTGGAGACTCCACAGCCCCTCTGTGCAACATGTTCCAGTGTTTGACTGCTCCTTTAGTAAAAAGGTTTTGTTTTTTTTTAATGTTGAAATGGAATTTGAATTTGTGCCCATTGCCTCTTGTTCTGCCACTGAATGCCACTGAGAAGAGCCTGCCTCTGTTTTCTTCCCTCCATTCCACCACATATTTATACAGATTGAGAAGATTCCCCCCTACAAGCCTTCTCTTTTTGACACTAAACAATCCCAGCTCTTTCAGCCTCCCCTCCTTTGACAGACACTCCAACCACTGAATAATTTTTACAGCATTCCATCAAACTCAAACACTCCAGAATGTTTTGCTGACATCACTGTAATAAAATAGGAAAAAGTTGGCTGTCATTTAGCATTAGTGATGAGGAAACATGCTACCTGAAAGATAACTCAGGCATTGCTCTTTAACCATACCCAGAGTATGAGAACAGAAGATATTAATACCCTGGCAATAAATATATGAGGGAAGGATTGCAATATCTGAATATGGAAAAACAGGAAGAAAAAAATATGTATCAGATGTATACACCATTTGCATATAACAAAACTGGGACGTTTAAGCATTGAATATCATTTCTTCATGCTGCAAACAGCTAGCATGGCGCAACAGAACACTGAGTAGAAATCAATTTGAGGTGGAAAAAATGTCACTGGCTAAATGTCAGCTGTACAATCATAATGAAAAATTTGAGTGCCCTTTCAGCAGTAGAACCATCACTGAATCAAAATAGCTCACTTCACAGTACTCCAGACTGTTCATAACTGCCTCTTAATTTCTAAGTCGCCTGCAAACCAGTGAACTTGTCATTTTCTCAGTCAGCAGAATATCTTCTCAAAAGCAGTATGTCAGTGACCTCCTTCAGCTCAGAGAGTACTAGCCTCAAGGACTGAGTCACAACAATATTAACCTTACCCAAGCACACTCAGGAAAAGAGTGGCCTCATCTAATGTTCCTTCTGATCATGCCACTGCATTTGTTCATAAAGAAACTCTACATGAACAGATAATATGAGATCATGGCTGAGGGAAGGCAGACTCTCCTGAGAGTTTTTCTTCAGATAGTAACTCGCACTAAGCTTTAAGTTACTTTTTAAGAACTAAAACTCTTCTTCATCAAAAAAAAACTCCCATGTTTCAGTTCCCCTGGACACTATGTCACGGGTTTTCCAGCTCAAAGGAATCTGCAGAAGTGATGACCAAAGCATTCTAAGAGAATAAAAAAAATTACATACATGAAATTCTTAATAATACTTGACACAGTGGAGCCCAGTTCTCCCCAACCACCAGCACCAGCTTGGTAGGGACATCTCCTGGCTATCTACACAAACTTTTGAAAATTTTATATATTGTGCAAAGAAAGATGCCACAGACAGCATCACAGAGATCCAGTTTCCATTCTTGCCCAAGCACAATGACAGGAGTAACAACACCTGTATTGTGTAACTGTTTTCAGAACTCTGAATTTTCACCAGCCTCTACACGTGTGTATGAGAACAGGGCAGTGACAGGTCCACTGTACTCTACACAAACCGGATGAGAAAATGCTTTTATCTTTTTATCTCAAAGCAAGAAAGGTTATTCTTAATAATGTTATGAACAACAGCATTTCAATTTAGTTAGGTCATCCATTTATCTGGAAAAAGAAGAGGGAGGCTGGGCAGTGAAAGGCTATATAATAAGCAGTATATACTCATACATATATACATACACACACATACAATATATATAAGATCCACTCTAGATGGACTCAAGCAGTGATGCAGGGATGTCTGACTACCATCTCACTGATTCTTGTATCTGCATAGCAGCATGCAGCAAATTCATACAGCTAAGCAAGGAGGCTGTAAACTAGCTGCAGAACCTAGGCTGGGAACTCCTTTCAGTGCACAGAAACTTGACATTTCTTTTCCAGTCCCTAACTACACCATCAAGGAACAATTGCATCCTGCATAAATAACTATTTATTGTGTCCAAAACCAAGATGGGTACATCTGTGTACATTAATACGGTATAATCAAACTACTACTTTGAAATACAAGACAGCAGGGCATGACTCAAGTTTGGGCCAACTTTTCTTTTACCTTTTGAAACTTAAGAAAAAGAAAATCTTCACAGCAAGAACACTATTCTCAAATCCCTCACCACAGATTAAATTAATTGTAGCTTTGTCACCTTCTTTACTGTACAAAACAAGCCAGAGGTTTATATTATCAGTTATCACTCACAAATTATTATTTGCACTGTAAAATTACATGCACAGTTATTTGATCAGGTCATTACAACTTCCCAGCTGGGTCTTTTGAATAGGATTTCTTTGGTATTGGACAGGAAACAGACGAATTTTAAACTAAAGGATTAATCAACAGCTAACACCTTCGATCGGAAAAGATTTCACCCCGCATAACAGGCCTAAAAAAAATAATCTTCACTTTTCTTCATCAGCAGCCACTTCACAGAAAATTTGTACAGTGTTCAGCTAAATGTTAAATTACTACACCATTTACTTTATTTTACAGGAGAGATTTAACCTTTGCAAATACTTCTCTCATATGGTCTATTGAACTGCCTGCCAGTAGGTCTACACAGCTGTTTCTTTCATCCAACCAAAGATGCTATCACGAGATTTTTACTAGTTTCCAGGCACCCAGCTTCTAGTAAGTCCAGGCTGACCTACTCTTTACTCCAAGTCACTTACTTAGTAATCTGCAGAAACTGTAATAGCATGATATAGGTAGTGCCAAAGGTTTTAGCATTAGATGTGTCCATACCACTGTGACAATCTAGTTCCTGTAAGTTCAGACACTGAACATGGAAAAAAAACCCTTTGACACTACAAGCACTGAGAGTTTAAGGTTTTGGTCAGCACCTTGTGCACGACATCAGAATTTCTATTTTAGTTCTAGGTGGTGTTGTTTTATGTAGAACCTATACACTGAAATATTTTTAAGGTGCTGTACATTACAACAGGCAGCAAACCCTGCTCATAGCCTGATCTACAACATTACTGATTTGATTCTGCCACATCAAGATTCAATCCTGCAAGGAATTCTTCACAGCAAGACCTATTTAACAGGTCCATTAGGGATTCATTAATATCTTTGTTGAAAACAGAGTCAAAGTTTCCATTCACTTCATTTTCCACTTGAATACTACTCATTAAATCCTGTATCCACTTGAGTTCCTCAGAAAGTTCTTGACTGAGAGATTCATACTGACGCTGGAGATCAGCATATTTCCCAGTTATGCCTGTAAGACTAGCGCCTACAGTCTTGATATCGTCTTGTAGATGTCTTTTCAGGGATTCAATTTTACGGTATTCATACTTCAGCTGAGACAGCTTGTGCCTCACACTTTCATTCTCTTCTTTATACCAAGCTTCTTTCTCATTATAAATGGAAACCAGAGCATCAATGTCCTCCTGCAACGAATCGTGGGATGCAGCCAAAGTGCCAAAACCCCGTTCCATAAGTGAAATGTCTTCTACTACCCGGGCAAAGCGCTCAAAGTTGATGTAGGTATTATTGGGAGGCATACTCGAATGGCACTTTATGGTGTACTCTCTCAGGCGTTTTGTCTTCAGTTGTGTGTTCTCAACCTTCTTGTTTTCCTGGACTTTTGTTTCTTCTTTCAGCTGGTAAGTCGTCAGAGGAACCAATATTACTGAACATTTACAAGACAGTGCAGCAATTCAAAAACTACACAAAGGATGCAGCCTGAACTTCCACAATGCTGGGAGATTCTTTGCTCTCATATATTTTCATTCATGCATTTGATGAAAAAGAAAAAAAAAGCCAAACACAATATGACAAGTGATGTGCATTCATTCCAATGTGATAAGTGTAAATAAGAGGGCCGCAATTTATTTTTTAGCAGTTCACAGTCTCAAAGCTATCAATACTTGTAAGAGGAAAAGCAACAATCCTGAAAGCACTCCAGTTTGTGTTTTGTGCAATGCAAAGAAAAAATTGAATTTCCACCACCTTCATTAGTCATGCTGAGATTAGCTAAATGTATTTTCAGTAAAAGATTTATCCACAAGAGCAAGCAATGTTTATGATGAAAAAATACACAGACACAGAAACGTAAGCAAATCAGCACACATGGTAATAGCAGTTTTATCTTGAGAGAAAGTATTTTTTCAGCATTGTCGACTCTCAACTCAAGAAAGCACTAAACCTAGCATACAGTGTACGTCCAAGCAAACAGAGAAGGATGGAAAAATACAAAGCCCAGACTAATGTAAAATACTGTAATGTGCAATAAACAACAAATCTTTGGCACCCTCTTTTTGAAAGCCACGATAATAAAAAGGTTATTTGCAGAAATGCAAGGATTTAGTCAGGCCCAACCAATTTCTTCCCAGTACAACTCTGAGACACCTAGGATGGCTACAAACTTAAGAGGACAGTTTTCCATTTAACACCTCAATAAGAGCAAAAACCTCATCTCTGTTTTGCTCATGGTGAAAAATAAAAAAAAGATCTGTGTCTTTATGCAATCTTACCGTTATCCACGGATGAGAGAGGGCTTCCTGAATTGTAAGCCGTTTCCTAAAAAACAACACAAAAACACCCCACAGACTTGAATGAGAAATAACTGGTATACAGCTCTGTTGACTGACACTTCTGTCAGCCTTCCTATGAAGCATTTAGCAAGGTAATTCCAGGACTAACTCTCAAATTTCAGTGTTATATTTCTCCATAAGACATACGGCTTGTGTGTAGTTTAGGAACAGTTCTAAGCTTCAGTAAGGAGCTATCCTTACTCCATACAATTTTAATTCTTACTTGATCAAAATCTACCTGTATTTTTGTGTACCCTTCCATAAAAAGTTTTAAAATATTCCTTTGATTTCTTCATCCAACATGCTCAGAAAATATACTTCTATACACCTTTATGCACAGGTATACAACATTAACTACACCAAAACTGTCTTTTGGAACACAATATCACATACTGCAGGAGCTGTCATTTCCTGAAAGCAACATTTAGGAGAGGAATACTTCAAACTAATTCAACCTGATCAATGCTAACTTCCTTCAGCATGGTGAACAGTAAAGAGCACTCAGAATCAAAGGTAAAAACACAGCATTGCACAGGGACTGCCTCTGTACATGAGACAAGTATCAGTAGCACTTACTCGTCTTTTAAGAAACGGAGATTGCTAGACCTATGCAAGCATCTCATCCAACCCCACCTATTCTAAGGCCTGACGATTTACAGAAATCTTGACTGAAAAGGTTGCCTGTTTCTCTCTAATACCGATTCTCTTCCCCAGTGAAGCCATTAGAAAAAACTGCAATGGCCTGACTTTCCTCCAGGACAAATAGGGTTATAGGGAAGGAGATGTGTTACTTCTGCATGCACCTTACTGAAAGCAAAAAAAGCTGAAAAAAGTTCTGCAGTTCCTACAAACTGGGAATAAAGACCTGCATAGCTGTCACACAAATTCTAGGTGATTGCAACAGATACAGAGAGACTTATGGAACAATTCCACTGTGAGCACATGTGAAGATTTTTCTGCCCTTGCACTACAGAGACCATATTCTGTGATCATGTCACCTCCTTGTGAGTAGTTCATAACAGACTGAAGAACTGGAGTGGTAGTTACCCTGAACAAGAGATTTTGCACACTGTTTTCAGCCCTTCAGATACCCTGTTGTTCCAGCATGACCCAGGTGAGAATTTAGTTCTGAAAGTGAAATTTATCTGAGGAGATTTGGTTCCTTTTCTTAGGGTTTCTGCGTGCAGTGATTAACTGGGGGCACAGCAGCATCCTCCTGTTTTCTCTTGAATGGCACTACACAGTGCATATTACTCATCAGGCCACCTTTCACCAGGTTTATCTTAAGAGACAAGTAGATCTTTCTATATTTTTATTTACCGTGTATCTTTCACCAGGAGCTTCTGAATAAAATCTTTTGCCAGGTCACTAGTATTGCTGAAAAATTCTTCGTCAAATTCATAATTCACAGCTGTGATGTTGGCAAGCGTCTCTTGTTTAGTTTCTCCAAGGAAAGGGGATGCACCACTAAGTCTAGATAAGCAAGAAGGAAGAATGAGTTGGAAAAACAAACACCAGAGGTCCTCTAATGAAACTACAATGACTGCATAATATACTCTCGGGGCATTTGTGGATCTCATGCTGTAGCAGCCATGCCACGTGGGAAGTAACGGGTCTGACTTCGGCTGACTACCCCTACGGCTACGACTCAGGCTCATCTTGAAAACCTCTAGTGCAGCACTAATCTGTGCAGCACACAGATAAAAATGCACATGTTCTCCTCTCCTAAGTATATGACTGAAGTCATTGTTAATCAAACTAGAAAAAACTATGGCTGAGGAGAGCCTCTGTCCCTGTGAACCCATAAATACTACCAGGCAGAAGCTCTTATATTTCTACGGATTTTCTTCAGGCAGGAAAAACCCTGCTCCTACTGCTTTTCTCCCTGCAAAGCTACCGACAAGTTCCCTGCACAGTGGGTTCAGGTTCAGCCAAGAGACCTTTCCTAGCTGGAACCAAAATACATTGTGTGACCGGAAGCCAGGTGTGTGGCCTTGCTCAGGGGCCAGCCCCACTGGAGAGTTAGGGTCACACTGCTCACTAAAAGGAATCCACAAACAAAAGGACTTTGGCTGCAGTAAAACCCAACTGTTTCTGAAAAATGCAAGGTTTCTTTCTGTTGGCACTCTGCTCCAACTGCAAGGATATAATAGAGACATCATAATAAAACACCATTCAGCATTCAGTTAGAAAAAGCTTTCTTCCTGCTTTGCCAGTGTCTCAATGGTGACCGATGACCTTCATCTTTGATGACTATTTACCTCTACTCCACAAAACTAAACAGTCAGAACAGATTCACTTCGGACTCCTCCTGCCCTGCGTTCCCTCACCCAATCCACAGGGTTGCTGATTTGCAAGTGTCTCATTTAAGGGAAATGTTATTTAGACCAAGGAAATTGATTTCATCCCTATTTAAAAATCTTCTGGGCTATTATTATGCTTATCTATTATGTCTAGCTTTGATAGCATGGTTTCAGGATGCAGCAGGCTCAAAACAGGACTGCAGCAAACTCCTGGGATTGAAATTGAGGTTGAGTACTAAGCACTTGTTTACATGATCCTGCTCAACAGACCTTTTACCCTGTCTAAACTGGCACTACCAGGCTGACAAGGAATTTGGGGCTAAGCAGAAAGTTAGATGGGACCACCTGGGCCATGCAGCCCAACCCCCAGCTACCACAGAATAAACATCTGAGCTCATGATCTGTTTCCTCTTCCTCTACAGTCATACAATGACACCAAAGCAGCTGATGAAGCATGAGTCAGACAGAGAGTTGGGGCTATTCAGTCTGGAGAAGAGAAGGCTCCAAGGTGACCTTATTGTGGCCTTCCAGTATCTTAGGGGGGCCTACAAGAAAGCTGGGGAGGGACTTTTTAGGCTATTGGGCAGTGACAGGACTAGGGGGAATGGGGCAAAGCTGGAAGTGGGTAGATTCAGGCTGGACATGAGGAAGAAGTTCTTCCCCATGAGAGTGGTGAGACCCTGGAATGGGTTGCCCCGGGAGGTGGTTGAGGCCCCATCCCTGGGGGTCTTTAAGGCCAGGCTGGATGAGGCTCTGGGCAGCCTGATCTAGTGGGAGGTGTCCCTGCTCATGGCAGAGGGGTTGGAACTGGGTGACCCTTGTGGTCCCTTCCAACCCTGACAGATTCTGATCTGCTTTAGCAAAGGGCTTTAGAGCCCTAATGGCTCAATGGTTGGACTTGATGATCTTGGAGGTCCCTTCCAACCTAAAGGATTCTATGATTCTATGAGTGAGTTGTCTTTGATGAAGTAAATTTCACCTCACAAGCCACAGTCGACCTCACTTCTTAACAGGTTTTACATATTCCTTCTTAAACTTTTGTTCTGTTTCTGCTAAGCCACGAAAATGGCTACAAGCAGACGCCTCACCACAGACCATGCATGGGCACTGCTCCAAAACCAAAGCTTGGAAACCTGTCCTAGAGGCTTGGTTTCTTTTCCCTTTCCCAAAATTGTGCCATGAAGCAGCTGTAATTCCACCTTACGGCCCTTTGCTGGAAGACAAAGCCAACAGCGCTCTATTATCCTCTTTTTTTTTTTTTCCCCCTTCTTTTTTATCTCACTTTGGGATTCAGTTTTGAGGTCTGTGAAATGGGAGGAATCTCAACACCTAATGCAAATGACTTTTGTCATATAGTGACTCAGTGCCTGTAAACATCTAACAGCAGACCTCAGTATTAAAGGCTTTTCCCTTATAGCCCAGTGAATCACTCCACTGGTTACTGCATTAAGGACTTGTAGGCATTTTGATGTCTATACCTGATGATAGCATCCATTTGATTGCTGCCATGTTTCCTAAAGTAGGCAGTATCATTAAACATCCACCATTTATTCAAAATTCTTCAGAACAAAAGACTTTAAAATTAAAAGGCGATTCGAGTTAAAGGCAAACAAACATTCCAGTACATAGCATATCACGCAAGCTGACCCCTCCCTTTATAAAAAGCATGCTCCTCTTTTTTGACCATTTGTAGGGAGACAATTTTCAACCTTGATTACCATGGCAATCTTTACTAGCCAACCAGGTAAAACAGATCTCCTGCTCTGGATACAGTACAGAGACCTGCTTCATTATTCTGTCTCCAGGACAGAACTCTCAATGCAACAGAAAAACCTCCAGAGCACCTGGCCTTCTGGGCATCACTGTGATCTTCAACTCCTAAGTTTTCCTCTTATCATTTAAGCACACACATAAACAGGAATTTACAAAGTTTAATGTCCTGTTAAGTACATGTGTCACTGAAGACCAACCAGAGCACTGATGAAAAAAGCAAGGGCCTGGACAGTATTTTAAACTCCTTTGCCTGCTCTTTGGCTCAGCCAGTATCCCTGTCTTTTTCTGCACCACAGGACAGAAGGGAATTTGTTGCAGTGCATCTGATTTCTCAGACCATAGCTCTTGTACTGCTTTTGGGTATGGACCAAGAGTGGATTTAATTCCAATACAATTATTTTCCAGATGATCCCACCCCTTCAAGCCTCCAAACTTGTACTGAGCCCTGAGCTGTGTAGTGCAAATCCCTCTAATACCAGAGTGCACCTTCTTTAAGTTTGTCAGCAAGTGAGTCCTCTGAGTGTTGTAAAGAACAGCTGAAGCCCAGGATAGATATGTCGGGGTGCAACGTTTCCAGGCACACAGTATCCACCATGTGCTGCTCCCTAGCAGTCACAGGAACTTGATTTCCATGGAAGCAGTTAGGTTCAAAGACCCCTGATCATTTCTGTAACTCTCATATCAAACCAGTGGAAAGAATTCCTGAAGTAACGAGTGCTGTCCCTGCATTGCATGCATCTATTGCCACACAAGTAATTTCACAAGCTGTCAAGCTCCATCTTGAAACTCTTGACTGCTTGTCCCAAAGATGCCCACAGAACGTTGTTTCTTTTAGAGTTCAAGCTTGTCGTAATTTCTTACTTTTATTTATTCATCACCAGTTGACACTTTTCTTCTAAAAGGTATCTTTATTTAACCCTTCTGCTTACTAACTGCAATGATATTCCCAACCAGCGTTTGTTTTTCCAGCTTTAACAAACCCCTTTTTCTCCTCTATGAGAAATTCTCAGTTCCCAGAGTCAACTTCTCTGCTTCCCTCCAAGCTTAAATGCACCTCTTTTAATATGAGTGACCATATTTATGTCACATTTATTATTTATTACTATTTATTATTTATAATATTATTTATGCCATATTATGAGTGACCATATGCACAGTAAACTGGACTGCTGCCTTTACAAGCAAATTTAAACTTCTATGTTTTCACCTGAAATAACTCACCTTGTAACTGGTACTATTACACTTTCTGTGTCTATTATCTCCAACTACTGGTAGCTCATAATCATTCCATGGGCAACCAATACACTTGGGCTTTTCTGTCCTCTACCATTTGGAGCTGATGGTTTCTCCCACAGGAAGCAGAAATGCCTGGTGATGCTAGAGACATTTGTTCTTTGCCTGCTGAGAATGCCCCTCTTTTTTTTACCCCTTATTTTAAACTTAAAAAGGCTGCAGGATAACATTTGCCCTTTGGACAAATCACTGCCCACCCCATGTGTGCAGCTCCTGTCTTAAATGACTAAAGGGGAGAGCTGTTTCGTACTAGTGCGATAGAGCTTCAGGAACACTTCTACAGGAATAAATCTACTGTACTCACAGTATGTAGGTGATGACTCCTATGCTCCTAAAAAAAAAAAAAGGCAATTAATTGCAGTGGTTTTACATGACGTGTATTCTTCATAATGTGTACAATATGCAAAAATCAATAGCAGCTGCCATACAGCCATCGTGGATTTAGATAACAGCTAACATCTCTCTCAAAGATTGGTGTTGCAGGGAAAAAGTGAATTTTACATATAACTTAAAATTCTGTGGATAGTTGAAGTCTCTTGATCTATTTCTACTTTAGCAGATATTTACTACAGTACACAACAGAAATACAAAGAAATAGAAGCAAGGATGTTGGTTTTGGGGTGACCTCTTTTGCTTGCCTTCCCAGCAGATCAGATTAGTACACAGGTCTCCTCTGCATGCAGTGCTCTTATAAATAAAGCTGTCAAAAGCACTGCAGGAACATGTTTCCTTTTAAGAGTGCTCCTCTGCAACGGACAGTGGCAAACTGTTAGCTCTATAACTGCCATCATTAAAGTTTTTAATTGTCATTTTGCAGAAAGTAAATGCTTATCTTTTAATTAAAAATAATGCTTAAAAATGGAAAGACAAAACAAAGAGTTATTAACTGCACTTAAGTTTATTGTTTTGATTTTAATTTGCTGCAACAGATTGCTGCAGATGTTTTGTTGCAGTAGAATGGATTCTATTCAGAACAAATTGGAAAAAAATAAGAGTAAAGCAATCTGGGGAAAAAAAAATCCATTAAAAACTTACCACATATCTGCAGCTAGTCCAAGTGGTTCATAGTTTACTATTTCTGGAGCTGTAAGAAAAAATTTAATCAAACATCAGCAACTGAAGTAACAATTTTTTACCATGCTGAATTGAGTAGAAGGTCAAGAATTACCAAGTTGGACAAAGAGGTGTCTGAGAAAAGGAAAGGTAGTTAGAGGATGCACTGTTTATAGCTTTACAGCCCTGATAGGAACTCAAGTTCAAAGAATTCAAATCAGAAGAGATAAAGCTAAGTGACTTGGAGCATACTGCAACTCCAGAATAAGGGTAAAGCAGATACTACATACTAATTACCATGCAAATTATAACAAATAACAAATTAGTTCATCACCCAAGTATACTGCTACTGATAAGAATCTGAACTTTTGTTTTTAACTGTTGTCATTAAAGCTAGTTTCTAATGGCCAGTCAGAAACAGCCCTTGGGCAAGAGATTGAAATTACACACCAGACTACATTGCCATCCATGTCAAACCCTATTATCTTTAGAAGGAACATTTCCTTGTTGGAAAACATCCCCATGTAAAACATGCAAGAGAAAAGACCAAGGTGAGGTAATGAGAAGGTGTCTGTAACAGCTGCATTTAACTGGAATATGAATTATATTTCCCTCTCTGCCCCCTAACCATCCAAAACCAAACCAGAAATATTTAATTAACACTAGTAGAAAGGAGTAGGATTAACCTAAAATACAAGTGAGATAGATTAGAATTATTATCAGTGAGTAATAAAAAGATAACCAGGTGGAAAAGTTGTAAGGGGAGGTGAGGGTTTTGTACTCAACAGGCGAACAGGGTTAGGTGGCTTTATCTGGAAAGCAATAAGAGACACACAGGTAATTGTGTGTCTCTATTATTAGAGTACCACAACACAGAGAGCTTACTTGCATCAGGCAACAAGTAAAAAGCTGTAATTTGTATTTGTAGAGTTTCACAATCTCAACCTTGAATTCACATTTTTAAATATCTATTTGGTAGCAACCTACTCTCACAGGAACAGCACATCTGCTTTAATAGAAAACCTTTTGCCTACTCCAGAAAAAAAAGTAAACCTTTAGATTTAGGTCACTTTGACCCAAATGAAATTGAAACTGCCTCTATCCCTCACTACTTAACTTTGAAAAGATGTCTCAGACTTCCTTATGGAACTTGCAACATGAGACAAAGAAACCCACCAATTCACTCACCTACGAATTCTGGAGTTCCAAAAATGTTTTTGAATTCAACTCCATCTTCTATTTTGTGAGCCAGGCCGAAGTCAATGAGTTTGATATGTGGAACAGGGATATTCTTGTCTAGAAGCATAATGTTTTCAGGCTAAAAATCAAAAAAGACAGATCTTTGTTATAATATTAATATCTTGGGAAAGTAACACAGTTCTCAAGTGCGCTTTTTTTTTCTCCACATATAGAGCACTGTAGAATAAGGAACACGTACCTGTGCCTAACCATTTACAATTAATTCTTTTAATAAAGGGATGACAACTGTGAAATTTGACATCACTGAATGGACCAGAACATTGTAAAAGCAAAGCAAATCTAAGAGTAATATTTTCATTCCTTTAATATTACCTCATGCAAAAACTGCCTTCCTCCATCTTCCTGTTAGCACTCCTGAGCTTATTTTCTTAATGATAGCTACTGCCAGGATGGAAACAAGATACCCTTGTCCTCACAGTGACACAAGAGTTTTTCACACAGCTGTATGTAGTTCCCTAACCTGACGAGATAGGCCATTAGATTGTCAACCCAGCAGCACTGTGATAGACACAAAGAGGAAGCTCAGTTTATCTTGTCTCCTCTTCATCAGAAAATACATCCCTGGCCCACAAGGCCTCCTGGGAAGTTGTCACACACTGACTCCGTGGTTTTGCCTCGCTTACAACAACTGGTGACAGAGAGCAGCTAGCAGGTATCTGAAGCAGTGCAGGTACTTGGAGTGAGACAAATTGCCATTGCTTGATCCTGAGGGAGAGCTGCACCACTGAGTATTCTGACTCACAGCAATTATACTGATCTGTTCTTGGAATTTACACCAAGGAATCTCACTGTTTGTGCCCAGTTGTTCTTATACTGTATTGTAACCCACTGGAAGATGTCTTATTAAACGCTCAAGCTAGAACTGTGAAATTAAAGCTGACCTTTTCAACCAAAGACTTTGACTGCCTTGACCAGATAAAATGGATATTTCATAAACTTACTTCTTCCACTAAATTTCTCAGCCTTTGTTACTCCCTACCATAGCCCTATTCCACAGATTTCAGACTAACCTATGGGTTCAATTTATTTCCCATTAAGAGTTTCAATGCATTCATTTATCATAGCTTAATCATAAGCTCAAGAGCAACAGTGAGCAGTTTGAATCCCTGCTGGCAGCTGCCTGGCCTTTTCACAGCACATCCTAACGTGAAGCAGCTCCCAGTAACACAGTCCCAGTCAGAGCTGCACTGAGAAAGAGAGCGTATGAATAATTAACTGTTGTAGTCATTGGACTAAGAATATTTTAGCCTCGGGCTAACAAGTCTGCTTTTTTTTTTAGGGCATATGTCTTTATCCCAGATATACGATGTAAGCTTGTTTGGAGCAAACAGAACAGACTGGAGTGGCAAAATTAGTGACAGTCACTACCTCTTGGACTGTTTTATTCCTTAGGCAATGTAAGGCAATGTAGCTCCACTGCAGCTGATGGAGCCCTGTCAAGTGACAAGATAATTATGAATCGTCTTAGAAACATAGAATCCTTTAGGTTGGAAGAGACTTTTAAGATCATCAAGTCCAACCATTAAGCCAACACTACTAAGTCCTCTGCTAAGCAGATCACTACTTAAAAATACATGTATAATTTAACTAGCAACACTCCAAACCTAGTCTTTAAAGGCCAGGAGAGTTATTCTGTAAATGCTTTAGGTCATTTGATCAGTGAAACGATTCTTTACTTAGCCCTTCTGATTTCTGTCTCTTACTTCTTGTAACATCTTCATTGACCACCTGACATTCCTGGTATTAAACATCAAAAATAGTAGCTACAGACCAGTATATAAAAAGTTGCACTTATAGTCTCACAATAATTTCATGCCATTGGATATTACACTGCTTTTTAACACACAGGGAAAACGTTCACTCTTTGGCTTCTGGATTCACATAGTAATTTCAAAATAAAGTGCATATCTTTTACATGTTCACACATCTCCACTTTTTCACATGCACCCTGCGTAGGTTTGGACAGTAGTTTGCTAACCAGTTTCTTAGGTCAGATGTGATTTGCAACATATGCAATGACTGCATATGTGCCATTAACACTGACTCCAGACCAAGCGATTTAAGACAGACACAGCATTAGCCACATGTTTAGCACACAGAATCAGCCTGTGTATCTTGAGAATCTGGGAGAAGTCTATCTATAGCACACACATAATTAAAAACTAGCAATAAACTAACCGGGATTTAAAGTTAGGAGAAGGAACGTGTAATCTAGCGGTAGGGTTTCTTCCTTTTCCCTTCATTTAAAAACAGTTCACTCCTCTGTTTTGTTTTATTTTCTCCTGGGGATAAGTACATTTTGAATGTATTTCTGAAAGCAGCAGTACTTGAGGCAGCCAGCTCTGTAGCTGTGAGTCCACCACCAAGAAAGCACTTTCTTCTAGTGTCAAGAGTTCCATTCCCGAGCACAACAGACTCTTAGCTTCAGAGAAACATGCTCACCTAGGCAGGTCACAATCAAAAGGAGAGGGGGGGAGCCAGTCTCTCCTGCATTGTGTAGGCCAGTTGTACTGATAACAATCTCAATGACCCAAGCTATAGGTGGTACCTGATAGGGTAGGAAGAGGGCCACACATGATGTGCTTTCAAGGCCCAAAGCAGCTAAAAAAGCAGGAAGTCTTTCTGTTAGCCAAACTGCACTGGAGAATGTATACTCCTCTTGGAATTCTGAACACAGACGGGATTGGAAGGACCAGCAGTTGTCTGTAGCTGGACCTGCCTCTCCAACAATAACAATAAGACTAAATCAGCATCTTTACCTTTAAATCAAAGTGAGCTATTTTCTTAGAGTGAAGGTAGTTGACACCATCTAAAATCTGCTTGATGAATCTGGTTGCTTCCTCTTCACTCAAAGACTCTTTCTGTGCCAAGAAGTCAAAAAGTTCTCCTCCAGAAACCCTGCAAAACACACCAGAAAATGTCCTGTTACCTACTGCATTTTAGGATATAAAATAAATGCGAGCACATAAAACTGAAGTAGCAAAACCACCTCCACACAGTTAGTAAAGTGCCACTCTTGTAGACAATCTATAGAATTTTGTGTTCTTATCCCAAATTCATTGATGTTGTAAGGTTTCATTGATCAAGGATTATAAAGGACAAAAAAAGGTACATTGTTTGATGAGTCCACAGACATGTACATATTGTAACAGGCAGACTTTGACGCTAACCACTTCAACTGCTATTTTTCAACATTGTTGTTTTGGACGAGACAGAGAAAACATTGCAATAGTCAACAACTGTAAAAGAATTACTTCTCTTACCGGTTGCCAGCAGAAACATGAGGCAATAAGACCTACCAAAAGAACCTCTTTTTCTTTTCAGAAGAGAGATTACAGTGTTCTAATACAGATTCTTGCCTGACACAGATGACAGGAAAGTATTTATTTTGTGCTGAATTTTTAAGAAGAAAGCAGATTGTAGTGGGTTGGAAGGTACCTGGAATTGTTTTCCCCAATCAAGGAAGTTACTATGAGTTTTCACATCAAAATTGAAATGCATTCCATGCATATTTAGTACATAGGACTTCTGTTTTCATTTTTATGCCTTGTACTGAGAGCTCCAGTGCTATTTTTCTATATATTATGAAACAAGATGCTCTAGATATTGAATTTGGGATTGTTTGCAGTTTGTATTCATAATTCTTACATTTATTGTTTCCAGATGACATTGTCATTGATATTATTGATTTGTCTCATTCAAATGTACTGTTGGGGGCATCCAAAAAGCAGTTGATGGTCTTGGCCTCAGATGTACCACCCATCTGTGCTCACCACTCAGAGATTCATTCAACAGACATTTTGGAAAAGAAGCTTTTGGCCCTGCTGCCTGATGAAATACCTGTAAAAGAGCTGACAGGTTCAGATGCTTTGAGTTAACTTAGTTCTGTGACTCACAGACAAGTTTGATCACACTGTACACTGCAGAGGTCTTCCACGCAATCATTCCTGACCCCAGGCTCCTAACACAACACTGGTAGCAACAAGATGGTGATTCCATACTCTTCCTCTTTCAGAGAAAACTATTGCAATTGGCTACAAAAACTGCAAGAAGTTGTCAGCTGCAAACAAGAACAGCATGTCAAAAGCCACAGAGACATTTGGCTTATTTCTTAGCTTCTACTATCTACTGTGGGTGACAGTAGACCTTGCTGTTCCAAGAGACTTACACAGGACCTATTGACTTAAGCACTGATTACTGGGTATTTTTTTGTAGCTTCCATATCATCAAAAACTTTCTAAGCAACATGAGGCAGGACACTTCACCTACATCTGGGCAGAAGTCACCTCACATCACCTGGACAGAAGTCACTTGATACTTTAATTGTTTCAACTAAATGACTGGCAAACAAAAATAAGGTTAGATGACCCAGGAGAATGTAGCAACTGCTGTCTTTGGCAGCTGCCTTCTCCTGCCTGTTAATCTGTTACTCAGCTTGTGAGACTCTTAACTTGATCCCCTATTTTTTTTTCAGGTGACACAAACCAGGGGTCTCAGCATTACCATCAGACTTGCTGGACAGGTTTTGTTTTACCCTGCGCATGTCACGAAACAGGGAAAACTGTCTCCCTTCCATATTGTAGTAGATTTAGGAGACTTGGCTCACTAGCCTAAAAATTACTGCAGCTGACTGACAAGTTAGTAAAGAAAGCTATAAGGAAAGCCTTGTAGTCTCTTCCTGAAATCTGCATACAGAGAGCAGGCAAGTTCCATTTCCTTAACAATTTCTATTCAAACTGCCATTAAGCAATAACCTCTAGCAGGCACTGTATCCCCCACATCAGGAAGCCATCCCTACCGGGATATTTCCTTGTACTTTTCTGGAATTCAACCATGGAGGCACACCACTCCTCTTCTTCTTTCACCCTCTAAAACCTCCTTGATGATTGATCTTTATGGTGGATTTTTATCAGGACGAAGAATAAAAAAGTTCTCTCTCAGGCCAGAATGACAGCCATGTAGTCCAGCCTGGATCCAGTCCCCCAGCACCAGCCAAAGAAGATATCACCTAAGGAGAGCATACAAGCTGAGCCACTTTGCAAAGCTGTCCCCCTCACCTTCCTCTGGCACAGAGGACTGTGCTAAGGATGTTAGAGGGTACCTTCCTGCCTAGAGGAGATAAGCAACTTTCTTTAGAGGAATCTCCTTTGCTACACAAAGTCAAGTCAAGAATTGTTTACCTGCCCAGACTGGAGGTACTGAATTCCTTTTCTCTTTTGCTGCCCTCAAGAGCAGTCATTTAAAAGAGCTGCGTTAGCTGCTGTGGGCACAGCAGGGATTTTGCCCCAGTTGCAGCCTTGGCTACATCCTGGGCAAACCAGCTATGCCTAAGTCACCACTGCAGAAACTACACCCTGCAGGGAGAATCACAGATTTACATGCTAGCTCCTTGTATTTTCCCTCTGTCTCTAGTTTACACTAACTAGGCAGGAGGGACTTCCAAAGTACAGCATACAACACAAGCATAAAAAAGGAAATTAAAAAAAAAGTTTCAGAGAGTCTGAAATCCCTCTGTTACTTTATCAGTAAAAGACTCCATCTTACAACAATTACAAGAGCACTTCATTTTCTGAAGGTCAGAGATGGGCATATGTTACAAATAAATTAATCTCCAGTCTCTTGTGGTGTAGCCTAAGACATCAGCCTAAGCTGCAGAGATCTTAAAAGACTAAAGGAAAATTCAACAGAAGAGGTGTGATGATTTCTCATTAAAAGAATGTTTTAAATCTGTTATAAAGCAGGGTTTGGGTAAATTGTACACGGGGAGCGTACAGTTTAGTGTAGGATCATTCTTATCCAAGTTAATGCACCCAAATTAAGAGAACCCTCAGGCAGAAGAGACTTAACAATCCCAAAAGCCAGGCATTATGGAATTCCAGAAAAAAAGCAGTTCAGCATTAACTCCTTTGCAGTAAAACACTCATAACTGCATTACAAGTTACATTTGAACATCCAGGGAGATGTGTTTTCTAAATCAGCACCACCTGTAAAAGCACAAATGGTCCTTCTCAAAGGACCTTAGGTTACAGAAAAATTCTTTCCTCTGATTCTCTCTCTTTCACTTTTATCCTGTCATCCTGTTCCGACGGCAAAGGAAGAAACAAGCAAATGATACCTTTAAAAGACAAAGAAACAACCAAATGATACTTTCAAAAGACAAAGGACAATGATGCCTTACCTCTTGGAATCAGCTGTTTATTTTGTGTGCACAGCCTTGACACTTACCAGCAGAGGTGGCTGAGGTATCAGTCAAACCTGCCTTTAGGCTGTTTTTGTTTGGGCAAAGCAGTCTCAAAGCAGGGTGTAAGAGACAGAGAACAGCAAAGTCACAAAAAGCTGTGGGGTGCTTATCCCTGAAAAATGTACACAAGGGTGGGCAAACCAACCTGTCAAACTGCATTTTACAGCAGTGGACTTGGTAATGCTCTTACTGCTCTTGAACGGAAGAAAGAGCACACATAGAATCAACTCCAGCGTAACAAGGAGATAGCCTTGCATGTGTCAGGACAGTGACCTTGGGAGAGGGTCAGCATTTTAGCCAAAGTCTCTTCTAAACAGCAGGGTAGCTTCTTCAGTTAACCAGGAATACTGGGGACATTCTCTTGAAGCTGAAGTCCACTGTAGCTTAACGTAAGGTTAGTTGGCCAGGTGCTGTAACAGTTATTTTGATAAACTGCAGGGAGTATGAGACTGATATCAGAGTGTCAGGAGGAGAGATCATCTGTTTACAGAAAGAATTTATTATATATAACTTTATTAGCAATTATTATCCTCCTCAATTTGTTTTCAGCAGCTGAATGCAGTGGCCTTAATCAGACCAAAACTGTTGCATCCAGCCTTTTAAAAATTGCAGTAAGCTACAGCCTGACCACAGGACACACAAAACATGTCAGACTACGCGAGGACAGGAAAAAGCAGAAGGTAATGAAATGAGAGGTTGTTTTACCACAAAGTAGCTGACAGACAGAAAAAAAGCAAGCTCCTTTCCTGTCCTCTGGTGCATGGCTACAGAGACCAACATTTGGTCATAGACATATACTTAAAAATTAACAGGTTTTTATCAGCACATAATCTGCTAGAGGTCACGTTCATCAGCAGGAGTGCTCCCCAGCCTAAATGCTGCCCTCCTGGAAAGCCAGAGGTTATTTTTCAGCTCACACAGAGTTCAAATCCTCATTGCCCAGTTTCCATACACAAGGTCGAGGCAGGTGCCCTAGGGAACATATAGTCTACACAACTTTAGCTACAGTGTTTCTGTATTTCATGCTTCACACACACAAAAAAATGGCAAGTTTTACTCATTACCTAAAAATTCAATAAAGTAGAAGACCTGAGGCTGTCTCCCTGCTTACAGCTTTACTTTAGTAAAACGAATTGACAGATAAAAGATATGCCATCTTCTACACAGCTCCTCCAAGACTGGGAGCATTGTAAACTAGATGATATCGATTCCCCAAACGAGCAGGACACAGCCCACAAAAGCTAAAATTGATGCCCATCTTCCTTCACTACATGACAAATTTCATCCCTGAAATGCTGGGGTTTGAACCCCAAGCCCCCAAATTAAGGTTGACATATGGATGATTCCCACAGCCCTTCATAAAGAGGTGGTGAGTTTGCCTTACAGCTTCCCCCCAGGGTGCGGCTGGCCCTGCAGGGAGACCCATAAGGGAAATCAGCCCCAGGGGTCCCACATTGAGTTGACAAAGGCCAGGTGTCTGCTTGGGGATAAAAGCTGGGACCACCTGCAGGGAGTCAGGAGTGTCTGTCTGTGGAGTGCACTCCACAGAGCTTCCTGGTTCAGGGCAGACCTCCTGACTCCCTGGAGCTGGGTCCCAGTCTGTTTAGACCTTTGTGAATGTGGGCACCTTTTTCTTATGTATTTAACTGGCTGGTCTGGCTGTTTCCCATGCCAACTATGGGCAACCTCAGTTCACTGTTTGTACCCCCTGTTGTGGGCCGAGTCAAATCTTTTGTGGGATCGCTGGAGGTAGCATCAATTATGTACCATCTGGTTGACTTGTTTGTACTCCTGGCCGTCATTCATATCATAACGTTTGTGTCTACAATGCAGTCTGTGTATTGGTTCATCTTCCTGATGGTGCTATCATTTTTGTTGGGCCTGGTCATTGGCAAAACAATCCCCTTAGGCCAAGACCATACATTCTGACCAGCAAACCTCTATTTATCACAAGAGCTCCTTCCTTTCCTGGCTCTGATGAGTACAACCCCAAAATTCTACTCTCTGCTTTGTGTGATGGCATTAAGGTTATGCATGATTCTCAGTGGAGATCAGGAAGGCTGAGCCACACAAATACACACAGATATAAATCTGCACACGCACTAGGATAATTTACATCCCTTTCAACTAACTTCTTAAGGTAGATCAACAGCACACACTATGAAGTCTGCAGAAGGAGATGCTTTTGACATAGGTCTACATGATCATCCAAGTAGACAGAGTCACTCACTTCTACTATAGTCCTGATCCTCAGCCATGCAACACCAACAAGTCAGGTGTCAAGTTTCATCCAAATTCATTATCCCAGTACAAGTTTGGGAGTGACCTAGTCACTTGGTGCCCCCCCCTTTTCATTTCATTAAAAAGTGAAATACTTTTATCATGGTAGACTTTTTTTACTCAGTATTTGACACTAGGAAACTGCAGACTTTTATTTAAATTACTCTGAAACTAACACGTTAACAGTAACACTAATAAATTTGGGGACATCCAAATGTTGACAACACTCAGCTGCAGATACAATGCCGACGAGCAGGTGATTCTTCTGTGACCTCCCAGCCACTACAGGTCAAATCTAATATGCAGCAGAATGGCTGGGATGTTAATTTGCCAGCAGCACCTAAATGACAGGGCTTTTCTCGCATCACAAGGTGGCACAAGAGAAGAGTAAGCAGCTTTCATTCACTCCCACCCTGCATGCTATTCATCCTCAACAGTCAAAGTCTAGGGGTTAAAAAAAAACTCTTTGTTTGCCCTCCTCCCATCTTTTTCCCCTAGTCTCCTCTAAATGAGGAAAATATGGGAATAGTGAAAATGGCTGCAAATTTTGCACAGGACTTGATGGCTTCACATGCACTGCAAGGGATTAAAAGAGGAAGAAAAATTAAATGAGCACTCAGTGGCCATTTGTGCTCCCCCCCAAGGCTGAGGTCAGGGCAGCACTAGGCAGACATGAGGTAATCCCTCTGTTAGCAAACCGGTTTCAAGTTGATAACACTCCCTGGCTCAGTAACAATGGCTTCAGCTGTCCTTATGGTGCACTTGTATCCCCAGGGCTCATGGATGAACTGGGGGGCCTATTTACCAGCAACTTCATTCAGTTCTCCTGCCAAGATCTGTGAGGCATGAGAACACAGGAGCTCCACTTTAGCAGTGTCTCTATGTTCTGGCAGCCTCTGCAGCCCTTTCCGATTCCTACCCTGGAGGAATAGGAAGTCCCCTTACTCACAGCTCAAGGATGAGGACCACATCCGTCTTGTTCTCATAGATGTCATGCAACTTGATGATGTTGGCATGCAGAATCTGCTGCAGAATAGCAACCTCCCGTTCAATTTCCTCACGTCTCACTCCACGACGGCTGGCCCGACTCTGACGCTTTTTAATGAACTTAGCAGCATACTCCATGCCAGTGCTTTTCTCTCGACATTTCTTCACTATAGCAAACTGGCCACTGCAAGGACAAGAAGGTGACAAAAATTCTCTTAGAGCTTTCATATAATCACACATTCACAAGCTGTTTATATACAAAGCTTGATCCTGCAACCTCTGAGCAACACTGCTAACCATGCAAGTTTGTTCTTGATACAACAGTGAGAGCTGTCAGAATTCTGCAATGAAAGCCACTAGGGCATAACAAGGTAGCCTCCTGTTGTGTCTGAAATCAAGCAAAACTAAGCAGTGTCTGACAAGAAGGGAGATTTTACTATTGCTAAAAACCAGTTCATGACTAAATGAATAAGAACCGTCTCAAAAGGTTCAAAGAAGCACTCCTTCACTGGGTAATTGTGAGAAGCGAGCCCTCATTCCTGGCTTTTGCAGACT